GGCCACCTACGTGACGAAGAGGATGGTGCAGACCTACGGGCCCAACCTGAACTGCCCGAGGTGCTGGGGGAGGTGAGGCTGCGCACTCCCAAGAGCGCAGGAAGCGCATGGGAGACAAGCTCTTGGACGAGGCGAATCAGCAGGCAGCGGTTCAACCGTTGCCAGGCGACGATATGGCAGCCCCAGAGACGGAGGTGGATGCGGCGGCGGTCGACCCCGCAGCCGCGATGGCAGCGGCAGCAGGCGGCGCAGCAGCAGCGGCGAGTTCGGCCCAGCCACCTCCTATGGAAAAGGGCTCAGCGGGCGACTCCGCGGGGATGGACGTGGACTCGAGGATACGACCAGCAGCTCCCGCGGACGGCGAGCCACTGTCGAAGGCGCCCAGGGTGGCCAACCTCGTGGTGCCCGCGGACGTCGGCGAACCTGCCTACTTGGGACTCGACGTCGAGGACTGCGAGCGGCTGCAGCTGTTCGCGGCGTCCGCGCGTGATCGGGAGACCCCGACAGCATGGGCGCACGACCTCGTGCCAGAGGTGGCGGTGTCCGACAGCCGTTCGGGAGAGGTGCTGCCGAGGGAGCTCGTGGCGCAGGGGCGCCAGCAGGAGCTCAACCAGGTGGCCGCGTTCGGAGTGCACGAGGACGAGTCCGACGATATCAGCGTGTGCAGGCGCATACGGAGCAAGTGGCTTGACGGACTACGATACAGGCCAGCCAGGACGCCCTTCGTGAGGTCGAGACTCGTTGCCATGGGTTTTAATTTGTTCGAGCGCGACGACGCGGCGGAAGGTGCGCCGTACCTCTCCTACTTGCGGCCGGTGGTGTCCCTGGCTGCTTCGAAGCCCCCATCGGGGCAGTGGCAAGTGGTTATGTGCGATGCCCGCGTGGCGTTCTTCCACGCGGACATGGACGAGTGGTTGTGTGTGACGCCACCGCCTGGGCTGCGACGACCTAGGCGGGTCTGGCAGCTCCGCGAGGCGCTCTGCGGTAGGAGACCCGCGTCGAGGTTGTGGCAGGCATGCGTCGGCGACGTCTTCCAGAAGAGTCAGCCACCATGGGCTCGGATCACGCCTTGCCCCGGTGCCTTCTACAACGAGACGTTGGACATCGCGCCGGGCGCGCACGGCGACAACTTCGTGGCCGAGGGGATCTCGGCGAAGCTCGACGTGCATGACGCGTTGGTCGAGGAGCACATTGAGATCAAGAAACTGGGCCGAGCGGGGCCAGGTGCCACCGGCGGTAGCCACGGCAGGCTGCTCAAGCGACACATCGAGTGGCGGGGGGCTCCGTCTCTTCGCTTCGCGTGGAGAGCAGATGACTCGCACGTGGACAACCTACTCGAGCTCTTGGTTCTGCAAGCCGACGCGACGAAGCCTCAGACGAGCCCAGGCTCGAAGGCAACGGGAGTTTTCGTGCCCAACGAGGCGGTCGTGGACGAGCGGCTGAAGAGGTTGGTGTCCAAGGCGGGCGGAGTGCTGCCAGGACGTGCCGCAGGTGCAGCACGCGGCGAAGATGGTCATGGCGGAGGCGTCTAGGCCTACGCCACTGGCTGAGGCCAGGCTCCAGCGTGCTGCGCGGTATCTGGTGGGGTGCCCAGTGACGGAGTGGCACTACCCGTTGCAGGACCTCCCTGTCACGGCGGACGTCGAGGGCGACCGCGCTTTGGCAGGAGCGGACGACGCGAAGCCCACGCAGTGCACGGTGCTGATGTTCGGAGATCGCTGCCTGGAAGTGACTACGTCGACGCAGGACCACGTAGCGACATCAAGCGGGGTGGCAGAGCTCGTTGCTCTCAACAAAGCGGGTGCCCCCGCTATCCTGTCGCAGCAGATCCTCGCGCTGTGCGGCATCCACACGCAGGTAGTTTCTGGTGCGGACAGCTCAGCGGCGAAGTGAGCGGCCCACCGAGTGGGGCCAGGCCGAGTACGACATCTCCGTATCCAAGAGCCGTGGATACAGGAGCGAGTGCGGACGAAGGATCTGAAGGTGATCAAGTTAGACACGGCGGTGAATCGAGCTGACATCGGGACGAAGTACCTGGACGGCTCGAGGATTGAAATCTTGGCGAAGTTCATGGGGCCAGCGACGAGAGGGCGCACGCCTGTCCATGTGAGCGACCCCCCCGGCGGCTATGTTGAGGCTATGTTGAAGGCGTTCTTGGCGACAGGGTGCGCGCGTGGCGCAGCGGGGGCTACCGCAGCCACTGGGGACGACCAGTGCGACGGCAGCACGATAGGCATCGTCATGCCTCTGTTCCTGATCATGCTGGTGTGCATGATCGCAGCCACGGTAGCGGTGCGCTACCTTGCCAAGAGGCGCTCGACGGAGCGCCAGCCCGACACTGCGGGCGGCGAGGTGACGGAGGGCACCGACGACGGGCTGGACTACGACGCTCAGGGCGGACGAGAGCGGGAAGCACCGCCTCCAGCCAGCGCGAGCGCGGACGCTCAAGGCCGACGAGAGCGGGAAGCACCGCCTCCAGCCTCGGCTAGCGCGGACAAGGGATCGGCAGCGGGAGGCACCGCGCCGGCCAAGGAAGGACCTCGGCAGCGACGACAGGTCGCACCGAGGATCGTGGAGTGTCAGTATGAGGAGCTCCGCTGAGTTCCACTCAGTGGCGGGCAGATAGCCGCCAGAGACGAGTTGATGCGCTACGAGGTGGACGAGCTGAGGGCAGAGCTGCGGGCGCGCGGCCGCAGCACGACGGGCCTGAAGGCGAACCTGGCCAACAGGCTGGCGAGGATGGCGGCGCGGCCATCCAGGGCACAAAGAGGCCGGAGGCCGACGATCGACGAGCTGGTCGAGCCGGCGGCGACGACGTCGGCTGCGGGCGCCAGCACCTGAAGGCGCACAACAGCCCCTGAGAGCCCGCTCCCTGCAGGAGGCTCCGCGGGGGGCGCCGCGCCTCGCGCCTCGCCCCGCAAAGACGCGGCGAGGAGGCGTGCCAGAGCTATGAGGATAGTTTTGGGATGTGTTGCAGGGGCGCATGACCGCAGCCCTCTCGGCTTGAAAAGGAACGCGGTTCCGTGGGGGGTGCCGCGCACTTCGTTGTAGCGGGCCGCGCTGGTTCGCGCAAACCACCGTGTAAGACCCGTTCGCTTCGTCTACCAAGGTTGGGCAACAAATCGAAGAAGAAGAAGAAAATAATGCCATACACTTGCTTTGTGCGTTCCTCTAAACAGGCAAGGGTCCGCGGCCCCGGCGGGTTTTCCCGATCGTCGGTGGCCCGCCTTCCGTGGGCAGACTTCCTGTAGGCGGGGCGGGCGGGCGGCTTCCCGGTGGCCTCTTGGCCGAGGCACCCCGCCCGCCATGCCCCCGTGTGGCGGCGCGGTGTCCGCCCGTGGACCGTTGAAAGCTTATGTTTATGTAATTGATCGTTCCTTCTATCCCGTGGCCAGCAAAGTATGGCCACTGCGTTGTCGGCCTGGCCCGCCATGGAGAGAATTGTTGGCGCTTCGCGAATCCCCACCAGCCCGTCCTGAAACAACCATTCCAGCGAAGAGTACCGACTATCGGGATCTGTCGGTCAGCTTTCTATTGACGATGCCCAGAGGAGTTGCTTCGACCGGGAGAGTGTGGGAACACAGAGACAAAGGACGGGGGATGCCGTCATACCCCAAAAGGGGAGGACGGGGAGGAATCGGAGGAGGAGGTGGGGGAGGGGAAGGAGGGACGAGGAGGAGGAGGAGGAGGAGGAGGAGGAGGAGGAGGAGGAGAGGACGAGCAGAAGGGCTCGAGGCTTTTCCGATGCCTCTCGGAGTCTCTTGGGATGCCTCCCGGGAGCCTCTTGGAAGGAAGCCTCTTGGGGCGTCCAGTGGGCCACATGGCGGGCCCAGGGCTTCTTTCAGCGTCTTGGGCGCCCCGGAGATCCTCTTGAGGCCTCTTGGGGGCCTCTTGGGAACCTCTTGGAGGCCTCTTGGGCGCCTTTTCGGGGTGTGTGGGCGCCTCTTGGGGCTCTCTTGCGGCGCTCTTGGGAGCTGTAGGGACACCCACTCTTGGGGCCATCGTGGAGTACATCGGTCAAAAAAGAGGTGAGCTCCACTTCGCCTCCCCCCATCGGGAGCCCCACACATCGCTTCTTGGAACGCTCTTGGGGCCGTCTTGGGGCTCTGTTGGGGCTCTCCTGGGGCCCTCTTGGGCCACCTTGGAGCCATCTGGAGGCCTCGGATGGCCATCGGAAGCGACAAGGCGACAACGCAAGCATCAGTGATTTCCCAAAGGTTGTTGAAGGATTTTGGCCTCTTGGGAAACTCCTTGAAGGTCTCGGGGGCCTCTGGGAGCTGTATTGGAGCGTTCTTTGGGCATCTTGAAAGCCACCTTGAGGCATCTGGCACTATCTTGAGCCATCTTGGAGGTCATCTTGGGCTTTCCGACGCGCTCTTGGAGCCGTCTTGGGATATTTTGGACGCTCCAACTACTCGCGATCACCCCCGTTCAGGTCCAGGGGGAGGGGGGAGGGGGGAGGGGTAAACCCCTCCCAAAAGGGGAAGAAGGGGGTTGGAAGAGGAGGCTCCTTAGACCACCTACGCCCAGAGGGCTGGTGTGATTTGCGCGTCCCCCTCCCCCCCCTCGTCCACCCCTCACGCCGCAACTGTAGCTCCTCGGACGCTGAACCAGCAATTCTGTATCGTCATGCTTCGCAGCACCGTCATCAGCAGCAACGGAATATATCAGCACCCCTCCTGTCCCCGCACTCCTCGCCCCCCCTCCCTCCGCACACCCCTCCCCCCTGCCTCCCTACTCTTTTTTCCCCCTCTGGCCCTTTCCCGCTCCCCCTCGTGCGTTGTGCGCCGTGCGCGCAGCACGAGTGGCACGCGTGCGCCCTGGCCCAGACCTGCTGCCTGGCAAGATCGGAAGCCTTGGGAACTCCCAGCTCGGAGGCCTTGGACAGCATCGAGGGGAGGAAGCCAAGTTGTATCCCTCCCCCTTCCAGCTCGGCGACGGAGCACAACAGGGACCAGAGAGGAGGCTCTCGCTCCCCGCCCCTCCTCCCGGGCGCCGAGGAGGGCTTCGAGGCCGAGACCTCGGAGCTGCGGGCCGCGCTGGAGGCGGGAGCTGCCCTCCCCCTCGCCCTCTTCCCCCTCCTCCCAACCCCCACCCCCCACCCCTCCTCCCCATCCTCTCTCCATCCTCCTCCCAATCCCTCCTCCCCATCCTCCTCCCCATCCTCCTCCCCATCCTCCTCCCCGTCCTCTTCCCCATCCTTCCTCCTACCCATCCAGGGTACATGTCGATCCGATCGGTCCGATGCGATAGCGATTCCGGAATCTCCGATCCGATTCGATTCCGATGTTCCGGCGATCCGATGCGGCTTGATGCTTGCGTAGCGCGGTCGTGCATTTTGGCGCAGCCGATCCCATTCGGTCTCGACTCGGTGCAGATGCAGAACGGTCCGACGCACGTTCCGATCCGCTCCGATCTTCCGATGTCGATGCTGACCGAGCTTACCTCCTCCCCCTCCTGATTGCTCCCCTCCCCGGCCTGTTGTCGCCCAAGGCATCCGCCGCTCTCGGTGGCCGCGTGCTCTCTCTCTCTCTCTCTCTCGTGCTCTCTTGATTTTCCCGGAAAGGACTCGAGCCCAGGGTTCTCTTTTAGTTGGTAAACCTAATCCCCCGGTGCCTGCTTGAAGGAGGCCGGCGAATTTTTTCCCTGATAAATAACGAGGTCGAAGGAGGCCGGCGAATTTTTCCCTGATAAATAACGAGCCCGCGAATTAAAATTTGAGGATGTCACGAGCGAAACGCTTGTTTTTGAGCGCCCGCGAATTAAAATTTGAGGATGTCTCGAGCGAAACGCTTGTTTTTCAGAAAATGGTGAGGATGTCTCGAGCGAAACGCTTGTTATGTGTTATAGATTGTCCTCTCCTGGGGACCTGAATTCTGAGGACCACCTCCCAGCACGACCACCCCCCCAGCACGACCACCCCCCAGCACGACCACCCCCCAGCACGACCACACCCCAACGACCACTCCCCAGCACGACCACACCCCAGCACGACCCCACCCCAGCACGACCCCACCCTAGCACGACCACACCCCAGCACGATCACACCCCAGAACGACCACACCCCAGCACGACCCCACCCCAGCACGACCCCACCCCAGCACGACCACACCCCAGCACGACCACCCCCCAGCAGGACCCCACCCCAGCACGACCCCACCCCAGCACGGCCCCACCCCAGCAAGACCACACCCCAGCACGACCACACCCCAGCACGACCACCCCCCAGCACGACCTCACCACAGCACGACCACGAGCACCCCCTCACGATCCGCCCCATCCGACCACGCCCCAGCACGACCACTCCAGCACACCACCTCCCAGCACGACCACCCCCCCCGCACGACCACCCCCAGCACGACCACCCCCCAGCACGACCACACACCAGCACTACCACACCCAGCACGGACCCACCCCAGCACGACCCCACCCCAGCCGACCCCACCCTAGCAACGACCACCCCCAGCCCACGATCACAACCCCAGAACGCCCACACCCAGCACGACCCCCCCCATAGCCACGACCCCACCCAGCACTACCACACCCAGCACGACACACCCCACAGGAGCACCACCCAGCACGACCCCACCCCAGCACGGCCCCACCCCAGCATACCACACCCCAGCACGACCCGACCCCAGCACGACCCTACCCCAGCAAGACCACTCCCCAGCACGACCACACCCCAGCACGACCTCACCACAGCACGACCACACCCCAGCACGACCACGCCCCAGCACGACCACGCCCCAGCACGACCACGCCCCAGCACGACCACCCCCCAGCACGACCACCCCCCCAGCACGACCACACCCCAGCAAGACCACACCCCAGCACGACCACACCCAGTCGCACCCCCGTGGAATGTTTCGTGGGGTGTCTCGTGGAATGTTTCGTGGGGTGTCTCGTGGAATGTTTCGTGGGGTGTCTCGTGAATGTTTCGCGGGGTGTCTCGTGGAACGTTTCGCGAGGTGTCTCGTGGAATGTTTCGCGAGGTGTCTCGTGGGATGTTTCGCGGGGTGTCTCGTGGGATGTTTTTGTGAGGTGTCGCCCAGTTGGGTATCGTGAAAACGTGACCATGCTGCGCATGTCTATATCCCTTTCTGGGTTCGTGGGTCCATCATGTCTTGTGCGATAAATTACGAGGTCGAAGGGGGCCGGCGGATTTCAACTGTGAGGACGAAGGCCGTTTTTCGCCACCCCTCACGCAGATCGTGCTCTTGGAATTTTATTGCCTTTTAAGGAAACCTCGATATTTCACATGTGAAATCCATTTTTTCCCGGAAAGGGCATGGGCCCAGGGTTCTCTTTTAGTGGGTAAACCTGTCCCCCGGTGCCAACTTGAAGGAGGCCGGCGAAATTTTTCCCTGATAAATAACGAGGTCGAAGGAGGCCGGCGAATTAAAATTTGAGGATGTCTCGAGCGAAACGCTTGTTTTTCAGAAAATGGTGAGGATGTCTCGAGCGAAACGCTTGTTTTGTGTTATAGATTGTCCTCTCCTGGGGACCTGAATTCTGAGGACCTCCCAGCACGACCACCCCCCCAGCACGACCACTCCCCAGCACGACCACCCCCCAGCACGACCACACCCCAGCACGACCACTCCCCAGCACGACCACACCCCAGCACGACCCCACCCCAGCACGACCCCACCCTAGCACGACCACACCCCAGCACGATCACACCCCAGAACGACCACACCCCAGCACGACCCCACCCCAGCACGACCCCACCCCAGCACGACCACACCCCAGCACGACCACACCCCAGCAGGACCCCACCCCAGCACGACCCCACCCCAGCACGGCCCCACCCCAGCAAGACCACACCCCAGCACGACCACACCCCAGCACGACCTCACCACAGCACGACCACACCCCAGCACGATCACGCCCCAGCACGACCACTCCCCAGCACGACCACTCCCCAGCACGACCACCTCCCAGCACGACCACCCCCCCAGCACGACCACCCCCCAGCACGACCACCCCCCAGCACGACCACACCCCAGCACGACCACACCCCAGCAGGACCACACCCCAGCACGACCCCACCCCAGCACGGCCCCACTCCAGCAAGACCACACCCCAGCACGACCACACCCCAGCACGACCTCACCACAGCACGACCACACCCCAGCACGACCACGCCCCAACACGACCACGCCCCAGCACGACCACGCCCCAGCACGACCACCCCCCAGCACGACTACACCCCCAGCACGACCACCCCCCATCACGACCACCCCCCAGCACGACCACACCCCAGCACGACCACTCCCCAGCACGGATCACGCCCCAGCAACGACCCACGCCCCCGACTACCTCCCCAGCACGACCACCTCCCAGCACGACCACCCCCCCATCACGACCACCCCCCAGCACGACCACCCCCCAGCACGACCACACCCCAGCACGACCTCACCACAGCACGACCACACCCCAGCACGACCACGCCCCAGCACGACCATGCCCCAGCACGAACACGCCCCAGCACGACCACCCCCCAGCACGACCACCCCCCCAGCACGACCACACCCCAGCACGACCACACCCCAGCACGACCACACCCAGTCGCACCCCCGTGGAATGTTTCGTGGGGTGTCTCGTGGAATGTTTCGTGGGTGTCTCGTGGAATGTTTCGTGGGGTGTCTCGTGGAATGTTTCGCGGGGTGTCTCGTGGAACGTTTCGCGAGGTGTCTCGTGGAATGTTTCGCGTGGTGTCTCGTGGGATGTTTCGCGGGGTGTCTCGTGGGATGTTTTGTGAGATGTCGCCCAGTTGGGTATCGTGAAAACGTGACCATGCTGCGCATGTCTACAGGACCCGGTGTGAACACATGTCCATCATGTTTGAAATCCCGATCGATAAATCACAGGGTGCGGGCCACTTTTTCGTGTGTTGAGGATGTCTCGAGCGAAACGCTTGCTCCGCAGAGTTTGCCGAGGATGTCTCGAGCGAAACGCTTGTTTTGCAGAGCCGACCGCGACGCGGAAAAGCGCCCCGCGCGAAGGAATTTCGATGAAGTCTCGACTAATTCGTTTGTTTTTGTACGATTTCCTGGAATTTTGGCAGGATGTCTCGAGCGAAATGCACGACCCCACCCTAGCACGACCATACCCCAGCACGACCACACCCCAGCACGACCAGACCCCAGCACGACCCAACCCCAGCACGACCCCACCCCAGCACGACCATACCCCAGCACGACCACACCCCAGCACGACCCGACCCCAGCACGACCCTACCCCAGCAAGACCACACCCCAGCACGACCACACCCCAGCACGACCACACCACAGCACGACCACAACCCAGCACGACCACGCCCCAGCACGACCACGCCCCAGCACGACCACGCCCCAGCACGACCACGCCCCAGCACGACCACCCCCCAGCACGACCACCCCCCCAGCACACCACCGCCCCCCCAGCACGACTCACAACCCCCACGACCACACTCCCAGCAACGCACACCCATCACGACCAACCAGCACGACCACACCCCCAGCACTGACCACACCCCAGCACGACCCACCCCAGCACGACCACACCCCAGCACTACCCGATCGATAAATCACAGGGTGCGGACCACCCCAGCACGACCACACCCCAGCACGACCCCACCCCAGCACGACCCCACCCCAGCACGACCACGCCCCAGCATGACCACACCCCAGCACGACCACACCCCAGCACGACCACTCCCCAGCACGACCCCACCCCAGCACGACCCCACCCTAGCACGACCACACCCCAGCACGACCACACCCCAGCACGACCCCACCCCAGCAGACCACACCCCAGCACGACCCCACCCCAGCAAGACCACACGACGCACCCCAGCACGACCTTACCACAGCACGACCACACCCCAGCACGACCACGCCCCAGCACGACCACGCCCCAGCACGACCACGCCCCAGCACACCACCCCCCAGCACGACCACCCCCCAGCACGACCACCCCCCAGCACGACCACACCCCAGCACGACCACTCCCCAGCACGACCACACCGCCTTGGTTGAGTGGTTGCCTGTCGTCGTGGAATGTTTCGTGGGGTGTCTCGTGGAATGTTTCGCGGGGTGTCTCGTGAAATGTTTCGTGAGGTGTCTCGTGGAATGTTTCGTGAGGTGTCTCGTGGGCTGTTTCGTGAGGTGTCTCGTGGGATGTTTCGTGAGGTGTTGCCCAGTTGGGTATCATGAAAACGTGTCCATGCTCCACATGTCTATATCCCTTTCCGGGTTCGTGGGTCCATCATGTTTCTCTCTCTCTCTCTCTTTCTCAGAGCCGCGGGACCGTTTCACAGTCGGTATAGATTGTCATATTTGTTCAATGCCCCAGTCCCCCTTGCTTGTCCTCGGCTCCCTGCCCAGGCACCGTGGATACTTGCATGCTCGGTGCTAGGCTTCACAGGTTTGCTCAGCATCGGTTCAGTGCCGTCGAACGAGGGCCTTTTCGACAGAGCACGGTTTCCGTCCCACCCAACCCGATACTCACCACCTGGGGCGCTGCAGAAAGGGCCTCGCCTTCGAGAGCCGAAGGAATTGGCATCTTTTCCCTGGCGGAAGGCGGTGCAAGCAAAACGAGGGAGGGCTTGCCCCTTCTTCCCGTTTCTACCCTCTTGCCCATCCTTCCCGTTCCCCCCCCTATCCCGTTTCCACCTTTCTCCCCCTTTTGCCGCTCCAACCTCGTTCTCCTTCCCCTTCCCTTTGCCCTTCCCCCCACCCCTGATGCTCGAGGCTGAGGCGTACGCACGGGTGCTCTAACACCTCTAGAGTGGCCCCATCGAAGAGCGAGACTAGGGGGAAAAACGCATGTCATCTCTCATGGTGTCGCAGTGATTGCTCCCCCCCATCCCACCCATCCCCTACGGTAGGTTTGCGTCGTGTCGACCAGCGGCGACCCCAGCGCGGGCGTTCAAGGTTGAACGCCGCCCGCGACCCAGAATCGATCGATGTTGAACGATCGGACGTTGCGGCAGCGGCCGATCGTTCAAGGTTGAACGATCCCTGCGGTGTCAAAAACCAACGCTGGGGTCGGCACGACACGAACCTGCCGTACCCCCTTCCCTTGGCCTCGCCAGAAGCTGGCGCCCCCAGCAGGCGGACGCGGCCCCGGCGGCGGCGGCGGAGCTCCCCGCCTTCGAGGCCAGCCGGTGGCGGCCCGAGGGGGGCGAGTACGGCCTGACGGGGCTGCTGCGCCTGCGCGAGGGCCGCCCGGGTTGCCGCGGAACGCCACCGGGGATGGGAGGCAACGCTCTGAGAATTGATTCAACGAGATCAAACGAGATGTGAATGTTTCTCCACTGGACTCGGGTCTCTCCAGAACTACTGGAGAGCAGCAGTCAGACGCCATGCTAAGCTGCTGGGCCTGGGGCGCGGTAAGCGCCACCCTGATCCAAAATGCCTACTGCCGGGCATGGGAGGATGGTGGGAGGCAACGGTGGGGGCCCGAGGCGGGGATCTATCCTGAACCCCAGCTTGGAGTATCGATCCTCGGGTCTTCGGCAGGCGGCCGAAGGCGGATGTGGACATGCTCGGGGCCCCTGGGGCCAAGATGTATCCATGTCCGCCGCCCGCTGGGGTCGCAGGGCGTCGGTTCCCCAGGCGGTGGATGTGCACATGTCCCCGGCTCGCAAGGTGGGATGCGCATAGCGGGGGATGCATCGACCCCCAATCGCCCATTGATCGGCGCTAAGATCCCGACGGCCCCCACCTGCCCAGGGAACAGGCGGAGTCACTACTCGAGGCTTATCGCCGATCTATCGGCGATGGATCGCCGATTCCAGGTCGACGTGCCCACCCCTACGGTCGAGCATTTGATTACGAAACCTCCTCCCGAGAAGCAGGGCCAGCGTTTCTCACCCAACGTGCCGGAAAGCTGGCCCAGTTTTTCCCGGAAAGGGCATGGGCCCAGGGTTCTCTTTTAGTAGGTAAACCTGTCCCCCGGTGCCAACTTGAGGGAGGCCGGCGAATTTTTTCCCTGATAAATAACGAGGTCGAAGGAGGCCGGCGAATTAAAATTTGAGGATGTCTCGAGCGAAACGCTTGTTTTTGAAATCCCGATCGATAAATCACAGGGTGCGGGCCACTTTTTCGTGTGTTGAGGATGTCTCGAGCGAAACGCTTGCTCCGCAGAGTTTGCCGAGGATGTCTCGAGCGAAACGCTTGTTTTGCAGGGCCGACCGCGACGCGGAAAAGCGCCCCGCGCGAAGGAATTTCGATGATGTCTCGACTAATTCGTTTGTTTTTGTACGATTTCCTTGAATTTTGGCAGGATGTCTCGAGCGAAATGCACGACCCCACCCTAGCACGACCATACCCCAGCACGACCACACCCCAGCACGACCAGACCCCAGCACGACCCCACCCCAGCACGACCCCACCCCAGCACGACCATACCCCAGCACGACCACACCCCAGCACGACCCGACCCCAGCACGACCCTACCCCAGCAAGACCACACCCCAGCACGACCACACCCCAGCACGACCTCACCACAGCACGACCACACCCCAGCACGACCACGCCCCAGCACGACCACGCCCCAGCACGACCACGCCCCAGCACGACCACCCCCCAGCACGACCACCCCCCCAGCACGACCACCCCCCAGCACGACCACCCCCCAGCACGACCACACCCCAGCACGACCACTCCCCAGCACGACCACACCCCAGCACGACCACACCCCAGCACGACCACACCCAGTCGCACCCCCGTGGAATGTTTCGTGGCGTGTCTGGTTGAGTGGTTGCCTGTTCGTGGGGTGTCTCGTGGAATGTTTCACGGGGTGTCTCGTGGAATGTTTCGTGAGGTGTCTCGTGGAATGTTTCGTGAGGTGTCTCGTGGGATGTTTCGCGGGGTGTCTCGTGGGATGTTTCGTGAGATGTCGCCCAGTTGGGTATCGTGAAAACGTGACCATGCTGCACATGTCTTTATCCCTTTCCGGGTTCGTGGGTCCATCATGTTTGAGCACGTTCGCCCTTCCAGTGCTCACGGCAGAAATGGGCCCAGGCTTGTTCTAATAAACCACTCTAAAGTTGGCCCAGATGTCTTAATTGACAGTTTCCCTCATAGCCTTGCCTAAGGGGTTCTTGTCTGGTTAAAGGTTGGTGCCTACGGATGTTACGTTGCTCCTTGCTCGGAGGTTCTCCAGGTCCCCCGGGTTCCACGGGTTCCCCGCCCCAGGTGTCTCATGCCAAGCAGTGCCAAGCAATGCCAAGCAATGCCAAGCAATGCCGAGCCCTGCGCCCATGCAAGAGGAAGTTTTCCCCTGATTGGGTTTGCGCCAAGCTCATTTTCTTGATCATGTGCTCGGCTGTAAGCCGAGTCCCCCCCTCATCGCTGCCCCTCAGAAGGAGGGGCGGCCCCAGACTTCGGCGCCGTGGGCAGAAACATTACGGCGGGACAGGTTTATGGCCACTTTCGGCCGGCGGCGGCCCCCTTTGCCGGGCCTCGGGTCTGCACGAACGAAATGGGCACGGAAAGAATGGGTACAATGCCCAACAGCGGATCCTGTTCATTTTGAACACAACTCGCTGTCCACGCCGCCGCGGCCTGTGTCCATTCGAGACAGAAGGCCGCCTGCCCAACAACGGCCGCTGTTGGTTTGGGACAACATTTGCTGTTGGGCATTGTACCCATTTTTCCCGGAAAGGGCTCAGGCCCAGGGTTCTCTTTTAGTATGTAAACATAGTCCCCGGTGCCCAACTTGAAGGAGGCCGGCGAAATTATTCCCTGATAAATATCGAGGTCGAAGGAGGCCGGCGAAATTATTCCCGGAAAGGGCTCAGGCCCAGGGTTCTCTTTTAGTATGTAAACATAGTCCCCGGTGCCCAACTTGAAGGAGGCCGGCGAAATTTTTCCTTGATAAATATCGAGGTCGAAGGAGGCCGGCGAAATTATTTGTGAGGATGTCTCGAGCGAAACGCTTGTTTTTGAAATCCCGATCGATAAATCACAGGGTGCGGGCCACTTTTTCGTGTGTTGAGGATGTCTCGAGCGAAACGCTTGCTCCGCAGAGTTTGCCGAGGATGTCTCGAGCGAAACGCTTGTTTTGCAGAGCCGACCGCGACGCGGAAAAGCGCCCCGCGCGAAGGAATTTCGATGATGTCTCGACTAATTCGTTTGTTTTTGTACGATTTCCTGGAATTTTGGCAGGATGTCTCGAGCGAAATGCACGACCCCACCCTAGCACGACCATACCCCAGCACGACCACACCCCAGCACGACCAGACCCCAGCACGACCCCACCCCAGCACGACCCCACCCCAGCACGACCATACCCCAGCACGACCACACCCCAGCACGACCCGACCCCAGCACGACCCTACCCCAGCAAGACCACACCCCAGCACGACCACACCCCAGCACGACCTCACCACAGCACGACCACACCCCAGCACGACCACGCCCCAGCACGACCACGCCCCAGCACGACCACGCCCCAGCACGACCACCCCCCAGCACGACCACCCCCCCAGCACGACCACCCCCAGCACGACCACCCCCCAGCACGACCACTCCCCAGCACGACCACACCCCAGCACGACCACACCCCAGCACGACCACACCCCAGCACGACCACACCCAGTCGCACCCCCGTGGAATGTTTCGTGGCGTGTCTGGTTGAGTGGTTGCCTGTTCGTGGGGTGTCTCGAGGAATGTTTCACGGGGTGTCTCGTGGAATGTTTCGTGAGGTGTCTCGTGGAATGTTTCGTGAGGTGTCTCGTGGGATGTTTCGCGGGGTGTCTCGTGGGATGTTTCGTGAGATGTCGCCCAGTTGGGTATCGTGAAAACGTGACCATGCTGCACATGTCTTTATCCCTTTCCGGGTTCGTGGGTCCATCATGTTTTTGAGGATGTCTCGAGCGAAACGCTTGTTTTTCAGAATTTGTTGAGGATGTCTCGAGCGAGACGCTGGTTTTGCAGAGTTGGGGATGTCTCGAGCGAAACGCTTGGTTTCAGAATTTGTTGAGGATGTCTCGAGCGACACGCTGGTTTTGCAGAGCCGACCGCGACACGGAAAAGCGCCCCTCGCGCAGGAATTCCAAGGATGTCTCGCGCGTGCCGCGTCCCGCGCGCGGGTATTTGGATTTCTTGGGATTTTGACAGGATGTCTCGAGCGAAACGCTTGTTTTTCATAATTTGTTGAGGATGTCTCGAGCGAAGCACGACCCCACCCCAGCACGACCACGCTCCAGCACGACCACACCCCAGCACGACCACACCCCAGCACGACCACACCCCAGCACGACCCCACCCCAGCACGACCCCACCCTAGCACGACCACACTACCCCAGCACGACCACACCCCAGCACGACCAGACCCCAGCACGACCCCACCCCAGCACGACCCCACCCCAGCACGACCATACCCCAGCACGACCACACCCCAGCACGACCCGACCCCAGCACGACCCTACCCCAGCAAGACCACACCCCAGCACGACCACACCCCAGCACGACCCAGCACGACCACACCCCAGCACGACCACGCCCCAGCACGACCACGCCCCAGCACGACCACGCCCCAGCACGACCACCCCTCAGCACGACCACCCCCCTAGCACGACCACCCCCCAGCACGACCACCCCCCAGCACGACCACACCCCAGCACGACCACACCCCAACACGACCATACTCCAGCACGACCACACCCCAGCACGACCACACCCAGTCGCACCCCCGTGGAATGTTTCGTGGGGTGTCTGGTTGAGTGGTTGCCTGTTCGTGGGGTGTCTCGTGGAATGTTTCACGGGGTGTCTCGTGGAATGTTTCGTGAGGTGTCTCGTGGGTTGTTTCGTGATGTGTCTCCTGGGATGTTTCGCGGGGTGTCTCGTGGGATGTTTCGTGAGGTGTCGCCCAGTTGGATATCGTGAAAACGTGACCATGCTGCACATGTCTATATCCCTTTCCGGGTTCGTGGGTCCATCATGTTTCGGTACCCATTTCGGGCGTCCAACTCGGGGACCGTCGAGAAAGCGGTCGCCAGGGAAGGGTCAAGGCCTTTGGGGGAAGCCCAGAAATCCGACGCTCCGAACAAATTGAGCGGCGGGCTTTTGGCCGTTATCGGCCTCCAGGGGCCCTCGCCAGGCCCCGGGACCGTCAGGAAACGACTCAGGGCGAAAAACTTGCGGCCGTAGGGAAGTGGCCCAGAATTTCGGGGCCCACGTATCGAAAACATTTAAGCAGCCAGATGTCGGGGA